CCGCTTCGGTGTTCTTCTTCAGTGACGTAAATCTAGCGAAAATATAGAATGAGCGCCATCTACTGGCCCACAAAAGACATAACATTTTATGTTAATCCAAGTATTAAACGTAAATAAATAAATAAAAAGATTATAATCTAAAAATGATAATAATAATAATAATAATAATAATAATAATAATAGTGATGATAATAATAATAATAAGAATAATAAGAATAAGAATAATTGGCACTCAGCTCTTGATGTCAGCAGTAGGTGTTCACATAGGAAAAGAACCCATACCCCTTTCATGACATCTTAAAACTCCAGATATAATATCGCCAATAAAACAGGATAACATCAAGATACAAAACTCTCATAAAACCTTAGTAAATATAAAAAAACATAAATTCTCAGGCATCCAAAGCATCACGATTGCCTCTGGTTGAAGCAAGAATAAATATATACATAAATATTAATATAGGAAAGTCAGAAATATTATGGAATAATGAAAATGATAACGATGATAAAAAAAATAACAATAATTATAATAATGAAAAAAAAAAATAATAGTAGTAGTAATAATAATAGTAATAATAACAATGTTGATAATAATGATAATGAAAATGATAATAATAATAATAGTAATAATAACAATAATTACAATGATAATAATCATCATCAGAATAACAACAACAACGGTAATGATAACAGTAGGAATAACTTTGTTTAAAACTAGGTTTAAAATCAAAAGAATATAAAAGAAACAAATCCATATGAACCAAAAAATTTTTTGTTTTTGGGTGTGTGTGTGTTTTAGGTTTAAGTTATCTAAGATAAATGTTATCACAGAACCCGAATAAAAATCAAAACACTACTGGGTTAAATAAATAAAAAAAAAAGAAATCAGAATCATCACATTCCAGATAATTCAATACATTTTTAAATATAATCACTAAAGAAATGAAGCAGAATCAAACTAAATAGAAACGCCAGGTATTAATCTATTCACTGCTGCCCTCTGGTGGCCGTTCCAGACTCTGCGGCTCCATTGGATGACATGGATCTCCATCTCTGGAGTCCCTTTGCCTTAGAATTGGACCAAAACATTCCATCTTCCTGTTGGACGGTTCCAAAATAATAATAAAAAAAATTTAATTATTGACCAAGTTGAATTTTTTCCCCTCGTTACTCTGATTTGATACGACAACAAATAAAACATTTTTGTCTTTAACATTTCTTCATTATCCAAACCTGTCATGATTTTATTTAAAGCTCTGACCCACATGCAGAAAACCAAACAGAGAGACCAGGGGAAAGTTTAACAGGTTTATTGAGAACTGGTAGAGATGGGTCCAGTGCTGCTCTGAACACTGGTGAACC